AAGGCCTGGCTCTCCTGTCCCTGCCCCAGAATGCCTCTGTGCTTCAGCGGCTAAGCCAGAAGCGATGCTTCCATGGTCCTGTCCTCAGGTCCCTCAAGATCCCTGAAACTGCCCCCTCCTCCCTTCAGCCTGACCTGGCTTTCCAACCCAGCTCTGCAGACCTGCAGGCCAGGGACAACTCTGTCTGCTGTCACACGCTGGCCTCCATTGCTGAAAACTGATGGGCTCGGGTAGTGACAAACTCAGGTAGTGACAAACGGGAAGGACAAACTGAGCGCTGGCGTGATACGCTGCTCTTGATCTCCACCCTGACCACAGGAAGGACGGCAGACCCACTCGCACCTGAGGCTCCTCCGTTCTCACAGGCCAGGGCACCCCTTCCTTGTAGGGAACAAGGGCACGTCGTGGTGGTGCTGATGGTGAGCCCACGGGGCTTCCAGGGTCCTGGCCCGCAGGCAAGGGCAGCCCTCCCCAGGAAAGCCAGAGGAGAAGGGAGAGGAAAGGTGGACGTCTCTGGGGCTGGGTGGCACAGGGATGCCAAGGCTGTGGGGGCTGGTGGGTAAGTTGGCTGGTTGGTTTTCTTTCAGTAAACTTATTCTTCTAATTTCTATAAATTTAAAGAAATTCATCACAGGATGGACAAATTGATTATTGATTTTTAGCAAGTTTTATCCGGACAGGATTATACATAATGTTGTATAATTTGGGTTTTTTTTTTCCCCACTTAGCAATATATCTTAGATATCTTTCCATTTCTTTCTACTCACTTTTTTTTTTTTTTTTTTTTTTTGGTTTTTCTCCGGTACCGGGAACCGAACTCACGACCTTGCGCCTGCCAGGCAGGCGCTTTTGCCGCTGAGCTAAATCCCCAGCCCCTCTACTCACTATTTTAAAAGACAAAATAATACTCCTTTCCATTTCTTTCTACTCACTATTTTAAAAGACAAAATAATACTCCTAAAACTTTCACTTTTGTGAAAGTTCTGTCTATTTAACTAGTTTTCTATCAGTAAACCTTCCGGTAGTTTCTGTTCTTTGCTTGTTGTTATAAACGGTGCTACAATGATTATCTTCTAAATTTCTATTTAGATACACAGGTATCTAAAATTAAATTATAGGTGCCCGTAATATGTGTGATAAATTCTAGCAGAACCTTTAGCTCCAAGGGCAAGTGTTTTTAAAATACTGATAGGCACTGCTTAGAGTCCTTCAGAAATGCCCTACCCATCTCATTGCCACGCATACAAGAGAGCCTGCTTCTCCTTCCCCTCAGGGCTCGCAGTTCACAGCTCCTCTATCCCTGGGGAGGGTCCCCTTAGCCCCTGGGACAACTTTTCCCACCTACTAGGAATTTGGGGACTCAGCCAGTGACTATTCTGAGTCACACTCCAAAGCATCAGTCAAAAAACTGAGCCCTCCTGGAGCCCAAATCAAAGGGAATGAAAATAGAAAACAGCAATGAAAAAATATTGTTCAAGTCAACTGTGTGCTTCAGGGAGGACACACCCCCCAAAAGAGGAGGTCCTCTCGGGTAGAAGCTGCATTATACAAATGATGAAAGGTGGGGAGGCACACCTCACGGGGCACCTGCCAGGACACAGGAGAAAGGCCGAGGGGCAGCCTGGGCGCTACAACTGCCAGAAGGGGCATCGTTTTGCAAGTGTCCATCCAGAGGCGGGCAACACCTTCTATTTTTGCAGAGAGCTGCCTTGTGCAGTAACTGAGGCCCTGAAGGGCTGTTCTCCTGAACACATCTGCAAAATTCAAATGCAAAGCTTAATTGCTTTTAGGAAGAGAGGGCTTGTGTCTTTGGTGGTGCTGTTCCATTCTCTAGAGAGGCCTGACTGCTGTGAGGTGCCAGGCTGTGCCTCCTTCTCCCAGAGCCCAGAGCACTACTGGGCATCTTTAAGCCCAGCTGCGGGCAGGGGCAGGGACAGAGGGCCAGGCCTAGGCCCTGTAATACAGACTCAAAACAGGACGGGGAATGATAGGCATTTGGCCAAAGGTTTTGCGGGTTTGGGTTCTGGCTTTCATTTTAGCAGGCTTAGTAGTATGTCTGGTTACCCAAAAATCGGATCAAGTTCATCTGAGGAGCTCTGTCCTTTGAAAGTCACTTACCACAGCCCTGAGCTGTTGATTGTCTCTTAGCCCTTGGCGAAGAGGAAAGGGCAAGCCGTGGGAGAGCTCCACTTTTCTCACCCGGAGGAAGGGCCACACAATGGGTTGGGCATGTTTCTCCAGAGTTCAGCATTGCCCAGGACCCTACGCCTCTCAGGGGCTGGGCCCTCATCCCTAAATCTGGTTCAGCCACTTCTACCTCGTGCTTGGAGGGAGAGGCTGAGGGAGGACTTCAAATGGTCACAGATATACCACTGTGAGCCGGAGGGAACATGGTGACCGAGAAGCATCGGCCCTAGTTTCTTCCTTTTCCCCACCCTCATAAGTCATGTCGGGCCCAAGGGTGGGGCCGGTCCACAGCCCACTGTGAATGCTGCTGCTCCCTCGTCAGCAACAGGCAGGGCAAAAGCACTGGGAGCCGAGAACATCCAAAGTAACTCTCCATGGAGAGAAGACCAAACACTCAGGAGATAGCTTCTTGCCTCAGCCCCATAAGCAGTGATTGGTTCTCAGCTGCATGATCCACGCAGTGGATTCTTGCTCTGTCCACAGTCCAGGTTCTCTCGCCCATGAAATGAGCTTATAACACCTTTATCCCTTCCTTGCCCCTCCAAACCCCAGGCTGTGGTAGGACCAAGTAAGTGATGTGGAGGAAAATGCTTTATAAAGAGTTTTATAGTGATTCCCTTCGGACATTGCTTATGATGACAATGAATCAATCAGAGTCCTATCTACCCTGGGTGACCGTGACTGGTGGGGCAGACACAAACTCGGCCAGCTAATCAGTCCTACCTGGACTTCTCTGCCACGCTTGTGAAAGGGGACTTTTTGCTGAGTGTGGGCCTGCTGGCCGCTTTCCCTGCCCCCGGAAGAGAAGACAGTAGTAGAGAGAGGGGGAGACACAGCCCGCGCTAGGGCTTTTTGAGCATCTGAATGCAACTCTGTCTGAAGCCAGGTAGACACTGGGATTTGCTGTTCTGAGACACTTTGGGTGCGGGAGGCGCTTAGGCTAGTTGGAGTTGAGTATTTATGACTGAAGGAATTCCAACTATCTCTTGATATATTTTAATTTTGTGATCATAAGGTTTTTAAAAGAAAGAAGCCTTGTTAACGTCGCCTTAAGTTAGTATGTTTATCAGCAGCATGAAGAAGCAGAAAGGCATTGAACGCATAATTCAAGCAACCTGGACTCTGCTGCATCCACAGGAATTGCTGTGTGGCTTTAAGCAAGTTTCTTTAACTTTCAGGACCTCAGTAAAACAAGGAATTAGACTTCGTGAGATCTAAGGTACTTCACCGTGTTAAATGTCTTTGGTTTTAAGAAAGAAGACCCAATAAGTCCCGTATAAAGTGTTCTGAATTAAGACCTTTCATGTAAATATTAAGAATTAAGACTAACAATTTTAAATTAATGTCTAATACGTGTAATACAATCTCTTAACAAATTAAATGGAGATGTTTTCATGCACATTCAAAATACTCACTGTATCACGGGTTAAATTGGAAAAGTTAGGAACAAAAACTGGGAACAGCCTTGTTAAATAAATTATGATCCCCTCATCCAGTGGAATATTATCTAATTGTAACACCAGATGAGGAGACTGTATGCAAGGATGGCCAGTGTCTAAGGCACTGTATAAATGGAACTGGCAGGGGCTGGGGATTTAGCTCAGCGGCAAAAGCGCCTGCCTGGCAAGTGCAAGGTCGTGAGTTCGGTTCCCGGTACCGGAGAAAAAAAACCCCCCCCCAAAAAAAATAAATAAATGGAACTGGCAAAGCCCAAGGTGGTCACGCTGTGTGGAAAAGAGGAGGGGATAATCGCATCAGTGGAATTCCAGGTACATGCGTAGATAATCGCAGAATTTTTAAAAACCAGTGTCACTGATTATCTTTGGAGATGTGCTCTTATTTTTTCCTAGGCAACATATCCTTTTATCTTTTAAATGTCAAAACTTGCAACTGCATTATCTACTTAAAAATCAAACAAAAAATTAATTAAATTTGTTTGATCCTCAGGCTGAAGGTGGAAGGCTGCCTACGAACGCCAGCTACATCTGTCCTAGTCAGCACAAGGGAATAGCCCAGAGGGTCCACGTACTGAATCAAGGAGACACGTGCCACTAGTGACAGGCCACTGGACAGCACCACCTCCTCAACTCTGAGTCACATCGCAGCCCAGAATCCCCCAAATCAGAGGTGCCCTTAAAACTAAGAACCCTGAACAATCACTTGTTCTTGCTGCAACCCAGACACAGGGGTCCTGGGCCAGGGTGGCCACATGGTCTGAAGTATCCATAGTGAGTAGTCAAGGGACACAAACCGGATCCTTCTGCAGGGCTGCAAAGCAGTCTCCATCCCCGAGACATAAGTTTTGAACCCCAGCTCTTCCATACGGCCAAGACAGGTTCTATGTTTAACAAACTGGCCCTTTCCAAGAAAGCTGCTCCAGGGGTTCACATGAACAGTGGCGAGAGGGTCCACAGGGTGCTGTCTTCTGGAAGACACACAACCTGGGATCAGGCACCTTCCTTGAGACCACAAGGACGGAGGTATCTGATGCAAAAATACCGCAGCTCCTTCAGCTGCTGCCTGCTTTGCTCCCTGCTATTGCCTCATTTGCTTCCCTGGGGGGCAGGAGGGAAGACAATGTAGGAGAAGGCTCACGGCACCAGAGAGGAGAGAAGCTCAGTGGACAAGCGGCCGTGTCTCACCGCAGAGCCAGTGCAGAGCGACACCTCTGAGTGCCGAGTGGATACCTTTACTTCCGCTGAAAACACAGCCCTGTGGACAAAGGGGCCAGCCAGCTTTGCCCTAGGCCAGGCCCCGGTGTTGCTGCCTCCTGCCGGGTCCCAGCCAAGCTCCAAGCTCCAGAGCGCACTCACCAGGTTTGATTTCCAGCAGTCGAAGCTTTGGATCCTCAGGCGGATGCAATCGTCTCTTCTTGCGCCAGCAGCGGGCAGGGTATGTATACAGCTGCCCCGGAGCAAGGCCTGCGGACAGAGACCATGCAAAGATGAAAGGCTCCAGCTGAAAGGGGCCGTGGAAACTACCCCCACCAAGCTTATCATTCGCAGGGAGAGGACACGCAAGCCCAGAGAGGCGAAGTGACTTGTCAAGGTCACAGAGCTGGCGGACAGCACAGGGTGAGTCTAGGCCCTCTGCCCCAGCACACTGCTATCTGGTCCGCCATGCTGTCCATCACACCAGCGTCCACCATGCTGTCCATCACACCAGCGTCCGCCATGCTGTTCATCACTGTTCATCACAAAGAGCCATCACTTTAGTAAAAGCAGCTCTGCTCTCTGGCCTTATAGACCATAGGAAGAGTCAGTCTCATGACAGCACCCCCAAGGCAGAGGCTCTCCGTCCAGTATAGATTAAGTAGGTTCCCTCCAAGGTAGACAGAAGTCATGGGCCTACCTTGGGGCTGCCTCCATAGGAACACACACCTGCTCTAGGGACCAGGATCCACAGCCCACAGAGCAGCGTTCCTGGACATTGCGGCCCATCTGTCTGAGCCATAGGCTTCCCAGAGCTGGGGCTCGTGTACTATGCTGTCCCCTGGCAGGAGTCTCCATGTATATTTGGCCTCTGACACCATCAGCAACGTTGTCATGCCAAGAATACCATGAGAGTTGTTTCTCAGACAACACTCCTACGCCACACAATATGACAACCAGAGGACACAGAGGGGCATGGACTCTCTACACGAGACCTACTCTTAGAGGCAGGGGAAGGTGCTTAAGACTGGTGGGCTGACTTGGAGCCTAAAATCATCATCTAATCATTCTCCAAATAAATGAGTGGAAAGCCCACTGAGAACTGGGCTTTTGTCTTATTCCTGCCAGGAGCCCCAGAACCAAAGCTGTGTCTGACATGTAGGAGAACCCAACGAAGTATTTGTTGAATGAATGAATGAATGAATGAATGAATATGTTCCAGCTTTAGAATAAATTCTATCTTCTGTGGATAAATGTGGCAAGACAGCTGTTAGATGCAAGCAGCTCCACACGAGAGTGTCGCTGCCTAAACCTAGGACCACAGGGCTCAGAACACACCAGCACCCTATCCCCATCCGCTGCCTTCCATTTCAAGGTCTGTAAAAGTTAAGAGGGGAAACTGTTTTCATTATTTCCCTTGCAGAGAAAAATCTATAGAACTTCCATTACTACATAGCTGTTCATTCATTTTTCAATTTTTGCCAGTCATCTTCACCAATTCATTGGGTTGGATCCCAAGCAGAGGCAACTCTCCCAGCATTAAAGGAACCAAAATATTCAGGTACCTTTATGTGCTAAGTATCATTTTAATCACTCAACTGCTTCCACAGGTTGCAAGACTAAACAGTTGGGAGGTTTCGACCCTTCTTCTTTGATTCTCAGAAACCATTAAGATGGGAGCCTATGGGGCTCCTGCTTCACGGGCTTCTGCATAGTAGGAACACCCTGCAGCTTTGAGCTCTGTGAGCTCTGAGGACCAGACTTGCAGCAGGTGGACAGAAGCCAAATGAATCAAATAAAGGAAGCTTGCTCTCCCTGCCATGAGAGGTCCCGGGGTGGCCTCTCTTTGAGGGAAGGTTTCATTAGAAATAGCTCAATGTTTTTGCGTGGCTCACTTCAGGACCATGTCCTCTCTCATCCTACCATTCCAAAATGAATGTCTTGATTCTGAGTCCTTTCCAGGGGTCCAGGCAACCACTGCACATGGTGATCTGCAGGAGGTCAGGGAAGACCAATCACTGGCCTGCTACACCATATCCCAGAACTACTCACCCTGGGATAGTGATTCTTAACCAGGGCTGAAACCAAAATCACCTGGAAAACTTCTCAAAAGCAGAAGCTCTTAAATTCAATTCATTAGGTAAGGAAGTTGGGGTGACTTGTTTTAGAACTTTATATGTTGTTGGAATGCCTAATTGGGAACCTCTGGATGTCTAGGCATCATTTATGACTGTCTGCGTGTTTCTCTGATGGGCCAAGATTGGCACAACAGCTTTTGCTGCAGGATCCCAAGCATCCTCGTATTTCCCCAAAAGTGTTATAATTCACTACCTGCTTCCTAGATTATCTCCCCCACTGGCTTTATAAGATCCAGGATGGTAGGAATCATGTCCGGCTCTCACATCCCCAACACCTAGCACACGGTGCTTAGCAGGCACATCAAGGAATCTTAGTCAAGTAAACACATTCAACCAGAACCGAACCCAGTTCAGAAATATAAGAAGTGAACGGTCACTAGCTCTGCTGTTCCTGGCTCCAGGAGACGCCTTCTTCCAGAAAGACCCAACAGAGTAGACCCAGAACCAGGCCCAGAGCCCAAGTTACCCAACCCAGTATGGCAGTCTCTGGTCTCGGGTTTTTTTCATGCCCCTGGTATATCCAACTTGACCAAAAGCAGGTGAGGAGGAAGGAGCTGATCCAGACCAGTGCTCTCAAAAAGTCTACGTGGCAAGAGCTCAGAAATGTCAACACTTGTCCCTGTACCCTCCCAGAGACTGCAGTCTCTGCACTTGTGGGTCAGCAGCTCTGAGACAATCCCGAGCCACTGTGCTGGTAGCTGTAGGCCCTTTCCTGGAGAGGCAATGTTGGTAAGTCCTCTGAATGTCCAGAAGAGGGAACCGGTTTTGTTTCATTCCTTTTCTCATAGATTTGAGAAGCGCCACGGGGCCGAGGAAGAGCACACAAGTATGGGAAAATACCCCAAGCCCTGTCTGAGCCTGCCTCCTCGCCTGGAAGATGAGGGCGCCAATGACACCCACCGATGGGACGGTCATGGAATTCACGATACCCAAGAGGAAGATCTCTATGGCCGTAAAAACTTAACAGCTGTCAGTTGTTGATTGCCAGGAGTTAGCTGATGCAGACTCATCTCGGACTCTGTGACCACAGGGTTTGACGAGGTTCCCCGTCCCACCCACGCTGGTCTTCGGCCGTTTAGTCACAAGGTGGGAACAGGCTTCCCTTTGATGTCTGCTTTGATCACACCTTGTGTCCTTACCCCTCGCCTTGCACGCCTCCCTAAGCCGACAAGCCCCAAGGCTCCTTTACAGGGCCACGTTCAGCCCCAGAGTTCCGCTTGCGGAGGGAGGAGCAGCCTCGTGAGACTTATGTTGTTTATCTCATTAGAACAGGAGGCACATAACTCAAGGGCCTGTGTGTGTGGACGCCGGAGGAGGGAGGAGGAGGAAGATGGAGTCACAGCTGCTGCCAAAGAAATTAACCTTGAGGAGTGAGCCTGGGGCTAGGGGTGGGTGCAGAGGAGGGGAAGCAGGAGAGTGGGAGGCCAGAAAAGGGGGTGATCGGTCCTTCCTGGTAACCAAGGCCACCGCTACCCCTCCATTCACAAACCCACTGAGCAAACTGCTTTTCTGTTGCCTCCAGCTGCAGCTCCAGTCACAGAACTCTGCCTGTGTGAAAGCACCAGCAGATGAGAGAGAGAGGGAGAGAGAGACACAGAGAGAAATTTGCACACTTCACATTTTCTGGGGAAACTATGCAAAAATTTGGTATGATAGCTTTGGTGCCTAAATGATCAGCAAACTTAAGACAAATATCTTGTTACACGTGTTTTTCAAATTTGGCAGGTAGATCCTGTGTTCTGAGCTTCCATGACAAACAGGGCACGAGCTAAGAGGAATTGATGAGAAGAAATGCAATGGAAAATAGAGAGAAGAGGACATGGAAACAGAACAGTAACGCAGAAAAGAGAGTGGCTTTCTCCTCCCCCAACCAGACCCAAACTGTGAAAATTCAAGTCCACTCACAGGGAGGGCTCTTCCCGAAGCATCCCAGAGAGGTAGTCCCACAGCCCCCGCAAACCTCTGCCACGGAAACTTACTACTTCCCAGGACTGCCCACCCCACTGCTGGCCAGCCCTTGAGACAAAGAGAGTCACCTTGCCCTTATTTTGAATCAAAATCTACCTTCTGAAACTTACACCAGTTTGTCTCCCCTCTGTCCCAACAATGAGCAGAAATCATCTGCATCCCAGCACTCCATCCCCGATCCCCACTCAGTTTTGTTGGTTTTTTTGTTTTTTGTTTTTCTTCCAGTACCAGGAATCGAACTCACGACCTTGCGCTTGCCAGGCAGGCGCTGTGCCACTGAGCTAAATCCCCAGCACCCCCACTCAGTTTTGAAGAGGAGCCAACCAGGACAGTGAGGAACTAGAGAAGAAAGGGAATGGGGAGAAAGGCACTGAGAACCCCTGCTCAGGGCCAGGAATAGGATCGACGACTCCAAATTAAAACTCCAAGCGCTGCCGTCATCTGCGCCATCCCAAAAGGAAAGGGACGGAACAGGAGACTCCACTTTGGGCCACCAGTGCCATTTAAACAGCTCCTCCATATCTTACTCCTACCACATGTCATCACCATGGGCCGCCAACAGCCTCCCTGCTGATAAACAGATAATTACATGAGGCAGGAATTCCTCAAGACCGAGCACAAGCACTGCACAAATAGTTACTGAAACGCTAAACACTGAACCAGAATATCAGGGAAACTTTCACAGCAGGAAATCTGCCCCAGATCAAGTCTTACTCATCTTCATACTCCCAGGGCTGGTCCGGCATATCAGAGGTGCTCCATCAGTATTTGTGGTTGAAAACACTAATTTAGATCAACTCTCTCTACAGAGCCGGAGGAATGAGTCACAAGGCCCCTAGGCAAGGCTTGAAGAGCCGGCAAGATTATTTCACAAGAACACCAGCAGCAGTTCCCTGGAGCAATGCTCTTCTCTCTTCTCTAGGTTTATTTAAGAGCTTCCCTGACTTCAACAGCACCTTTCAGCAAAGCTTTCCTGAGCCAACCCCTAAACAACTAGAGTCCAGGAACTTAATACTATATTCTAGGACTCAACCTACACCACCACTACCACCCCCCAACCCCCTGCACAATGTTCATCAGCCATCCCCTTTGTGCTGTCCCAACATTCTCCCTGAACCTTCTTATTTTAAGATTTAATTCCAGCGTCCCTCGGGTGCTGGCCGG